CCAGGAAAGGAGACACTTCCGCTTTATAAAACTGCTTATTTTCAAATTTTAAATGGGGACAGGATGAATACGCTACGTTACATACTTTTATTTATATGATTCTTTTTCTCAGCAGCTTACTTTTTCTTTCTTGAAAATGAAAGAGCCTTGCAAGCATTGTTGACTAGTAACATCGCAAAACGATTTCACCAGAGTAAAGATATCTTGGTCATCCATATACAGATGTGTCCATTGTTTGTCAAATAAAAATTCGTTAAAATGAGACGGTTATCCTGGGAATTATTACAGATTTTATAATAAAAGGCATGGTGGCAGTTGAAACCCTTGGACCCTTGCCTTTTCAGTCATGAGTAGGGCCCTCTTGCAAAGCTCTCTTGAATTGAGGTCTTTGGTAGATGGATCAAAATTCCAAAAGCAGGAGTTGCTTGCCTTAATTTATTATCTTCCTTTGGCTTAATAGATAACACTACATTTCATGAAGTGCCAGTCTTTATCTCGTCAAGCCCAACTAAGTGAGTTAAAGAGGAAGTGTCCTCTTATTTAACAAGTTGTGTGACATGCTTGGAATCTAGTTGTTTCAGATCTGTGAGTTAGTTGCTTATCAGGCAGTGCTGCTTCGTGTTCTGGTTAGAAGCCATATTCCCATCGTACTGTCTCTGAAAGCAAATCAAGGTTTCCTCACTGGACTCAGAGAAGATCTAAGATTGTGTGCTCATGCAGTTGAGAGCAGGAGAGAACAGGGGAGAGAGTGTTTGTGTGCGTGATTTGGAGGGGGCAGCGGTGAGCATTCCAGTGCTTTTCATGTTTTTCGAGGGTTGAGGAGAGACTAGCAAGGTGGATGGAGTTAGGCCTTTTCCTGTGAAGGAATTACCTCTTGTAAAGAGGAACAAAATCAGAGGGGTGCCTGGGCGGCTCAGTCGTTAAGCATCTGCCTTCGGCTCAGGTCATGGTCCCAGGGTCCTGGGATCGAGCCCCGCATCGGGCTCCCTGCTCGGCGGGAAGCCTGCTTCTCCCTCTCCCACTCCCCCTGCTTGTGTTCCCTCTCTCGCTGTGTCTCTCTCTGTCAAATAAATAGATAAAATCTTTAAAAAAAAAAAAAAAAGAACAAAATCAGAATCAAAGCAGTTTCTTGTGTAGTTGTATGGAAATGAAAGTGAAAACTAATAAAATATTTTTCCTTTTTACTCTTACCTGTAAAATGTACTTATTTATTCTAGATTGGTGTGTATTGATCACTGTCATGTTATCTCATATCGATAGCTCTTTAGAATTCACAAGGATTCGGGGCACCTGGGTGGCTCAGTTGGTTAAGCATCTGCCTTCTGCTCAGGTCATGATCCTTGGGTCCTGGGCTCACGCCCCATTGAGGCTCCCTGCTCCGCGGAGCGTCTGCTTCTGTCCCTCTCTGTCCTCCCACCTTTCCAGTGCTCCTGCTCTCTCTCTCAAATAAATAAAATATTAAAAAAAAATAGAATTCACAAAGATTCCACACATGTCTTATTTAATTCTCACCCCAGTGTTCATAGCTAGTTTGAAATTGAGTCAGAATGAAAGCACAGAGAGGTGAGGTAACTTGCCTGAGATCACACAGCTCTTGAGTTGTGGGTTACAGGACTAGAGCAGAGAACTTTGGACCCTCTTCCTGGGCCCTCTCCATTTTGTTTGCTGCCTTCTTGCTCCAAGGAGTAGTGCACAGTCCTGACCAAGCTCTTCCCAAGCAGCTCATCCAGTCTGAAATCAAATTTATTTTCACAAGTCTGTGAAAGCCCGCTCTGTGGCAGGCAGACCGGGTGTGGTGTCTGTAGGGAGGTTTGAGGCGCACGTGATCTCTGCTGCTCGATCGTGGGTTAGTTCACGGATGCTTTCTCTGCCGGATCCCTCTTTGGTGTTGTGAATGGGGTATTGGGCGAAGAATTATGGGGGAAGGGGAGCTTGCATTTGTCAAGCTCATATATATGTCAGGTGTTAGGCTAGATTAGCTTGTTACATGCCTTCACATTTAAGTACTTTAAAATTATTTGTTATTGGTATAAATTCCTTATGGAAAACTTAGAATGTGCAGATAAGTAAAAATAAAAAAAGATGTAGATAAGAAAAGAAAAAAAATTACCCCAAATTCTTACCAGCCAGACATAATTGTTAATATTTAGCAGATAGGATTCTGAGCATTTTTCCCTTCCCCTCCCTTCTGTTATTATTATTTTTTTTAATGGTGGAACATGACCACCTCTCCCTGCCATTAAATATTGACATCTTAAGTGGTTGAATGGTATTTTCTTAATGTAGTTCTTAACGTTCTCCCACTGTGGCACATTGGGTGAATTTCAGCTTTTTGTGATAGCTGTCGAATGGAGATGAACATTTTATAATAAAGTGTTTGTACCTATCCGTGACTCTTCTGTAGTTTTTATTTTCTGCAAGTGGAATGCTAATACTATAGTTTTTATTTTTTGCAAGTGGAATTGCTGCGTCAAGGGGTTTGTTCCCTAACCTTAATATCTTGATCTGTTTTTCATCAGACCACACCCCTTGGAAACTTGTACTAATTTGAATGTGCATTTGCCCTGCATCCTTGCCAACCTTGGAGATTAGTTTTACTTCCTCTAAAGTGTCACTTACATTTGCATGTCTCTGATTATTAATAAGATCGATCAGCTCTTCATTTGGCCGTTTATATTTATTCTTCTATGAATTACCTTTTCATCTAATGTTCGTAACTATCGGGTATGTATTGATTGCTAATTGATTGCTTCGTTCATGTGGTATAATTTAATCTTCAAAATGTCCCTTTCTCTTAGAGGTTAATTTATCTCAAAGTGTCTGTTTTAAGCACCTGTTCAGTCTTGCAATCGAGAGGAAAATCATGAGGAAGAATTTGGCCTAACTCCCGTTTGCCTCACTAAAAACTTTCAAGTATATGTCTTCTCTGTGACACCAGCTACGACTCTAGTAGTGGGCACCGCTGCTTCATACCTGCATTTAAGGAGGGAGCACCCCATAAGACTGGCAAGTTGGCCACTGACAGTGGTGGTTGAGTCCCACGGTAGCACCACGGGCGACATTTAGTTCTTTTGGTTTTGCACATTTCCCCCAGATCTTCCTTCTCTTAACGATAGAACTCTTCAGAGTTTTCCTCTGCATTATCTCATTTGATGAGCCTGGCTCCCGCGTGGTGAAATTGTACCACTGCTGAAAATAGCTCTGCTGACAGGCAGGGGAAGCTTGATAGGTAGCGAGTTTCTATTTGGAGAGGCAGCAGGGTGCATGAGAAGAAGTCCTGGCTCGGGAAGCAGACATGACCTAGTTTCAAAACCTGGCCTCACCGCGTCCCATCTGAGTGTCTTGGGGCAAGTTACTTCCCTTCTCTGAATTCCTGTTCCACATCTATAAACAGAGCCAATATTCCTGTTTTGAAAAGTTTTTAAAGATGGGAACTCCAGAGTGCCCAGGGAATTGCCTGCTCAACATTGCAGGCACTTAATGCACTTAATAAACTGCAGGCATTTGGGGAATGGGAGACAAGGCGATCAAGTTACTGAAATTAGTTTGGTATTTTCCTAGCTTCCTGGTTCTTGTATCCTCAAAAGGTTGCCCTGGTATCTGCGAGTTTGTCCTGAAATGACCTTTCTAAATGACTGGTTTAGACATTGACTTGTCTTTGGTGTGAAAGGAAACATTTTAGGTATCTTTTGGTTGGAGGTCAGACAGTAGCTTCATCCAGAAAAAAAGTATCAAATGAGAGAGAGAGAAAAAAAAAAGGACAAGGTTATTTTTGGTGCAGTGAAGGAAGGAAAAAGATGTTATGAAGCTTGGGGGCAAAAAGCAAGGAACACCATTAAACCTGAAAGGGATGCATGTGGTAACATCTTTATCAGGAGAGTGTGGCTTGAGAGCACCGTTCACTTGAGCTGGTGATGGTTTCTAGGAGTGCCCGGTGTATTCCGCATAGACGTCCAGCTTTGCCATCCGTTTACTTGTTCATACCAGACACCGTATCAGTGTTTGGACAGAATTTTATCAGCCCTTCAACAGGAATGATGGGTTTTATTGGAGAGTTCTGGGAACATGTCAGGATGAGAACTGGTCCAGGAGACAGGTGGTCATAAACTTAGCTAATGGAAGGCAAGTCACTTAACTGTTTGAGCCCTGCTTTCCTCATTTGTGAAATCAAGAGAATAATACTTTCTGTTACCTACTTTTTAAGGATCAGATACAAGACAGTGTGCAAAGGCAGAAGAGTACTCTATGTAGTTGATCACGGTTGCGGGAAAAGAAACCTAGTGGTTGTTGAAAAAGAGAAGCCTTCAGGAGGAGGCGGCTTTAGGTTTGGAGGAAGGTAGAGGTGGGAGAAAGAGAGTGATTTAATTCCTTAATGGGTGGAATAAAATAGGATCTCTTGATGTTTTTTTGTTGGGATATGCTGGGAGGTTTCCGCCAGTATCTCCTGCGGAGTTCAGAAATGGACCCCGATTTCAAGTACCTTTGTTGTGTGCTGGGCAGTTGATTTGGTGGTGAGGACTAGGAAAGTTGAGCGGTCCCATCCCCTCCTGAATTGGCAGGTTGTGACTCGAGCCAGACCGTCAGAAATCTGGGGTAACAGGAAGGGACACTCAGCAGAGGCAGAATGGCTGCGGGTTCTAGTTGTGTGGAGGCTTCTTTCAGAGTGGAGATGCTGTCAGTTCTCTGACAGTAACTTTTCCTTCCTGGTTCCCTAAAGTGTCAGCTGTGGAAGCGCCTTCCCTCCGCTCCCAGTGCACAGCTAGCTCAGATGGAAGCGGGAAGAGCGACCTGGGCGCTGTTGGCTCTCAGGACATCAACAAGATTGCCAGCAATGTCTTGATTCTGGAAACTTGGTTTTCCTGGTGATCACATGAACGAAAAGAATGAAAATAATCAATCTCTTTCAAATGGACAGACTCTGCTGTGTCAGCCACTGAACCCTGCAAGGAGGATGAAATCTCAAAACTTTTTGCATTTTTCGATTTGTCTTCTGCCTTCAGTTTTTCTGCATGGCTGTGTTGTATAGTGAGGCGGCCATGGCTTCTAAATTCTGCATCCGGGTTTGAGAAGCTTCTATCAGCCAGGAGATTGTCATTGCATTCCAAATGCATTAAAAAAAGAAAAGAAAGAAAAAAAATGCCATTACAACTTCATCTGTTAGCGAAGGAAGTTCCAATTCCTAGTTCATGTACAGTTACCGGATTGAGCGTTTGACAAGGTGGAGAGCACTGTAACAGATCCATATGGGGGAACATCTCAGTCAGGGAGCAGAGTCAGGTTTTTGGCAAGGGATACCATCCTTTCAGCCCGAACAGCTGATTTGGGAGCTCTTGGTCTCCGTGCACAAGGGCCCTTTCTCCTACCAGGTCTAGGGATCGCTGCATGCCTGGGGTTTCCTTTATAGTGCCTGTTGGCCTGATCAGGGAGGAACTTAATAAAGGGACACCAGCAGTGGTTTGCATGTCACTGTCCTGGGACTCTCAGACCCTCCTGAGTGCACACGTGTGCACTGATCATTCATATGTCCCATGCATGTTTGCTTTATTGAAGCAACACACATTTATTCACGTATAGGTCTGGAGGTCAGAAGTCTGAAATCCATTTCACTGGGCTCAAACTCAGGGTGTCGGCAGGGCTGGCTCCTTCAGAGGCTCTGGGGGAGAATTTATTTCCTTGCCTTGTTTGAAACTTTGAGTGACTGTCCATGTTACGTGGAGTCTGGTCATTTCTTCTCCTTCTGACTGTGTCACCCCACTTCCTGCTTCCACATCATATCACCTCCTCTAGTGGAGTTCAGTCTCCCTCTTATAGTGACACGTCCTTGGGGCCCACCTGGGTGATCCAGGATAATCTGCCATCTCAAGGCCCTTATCTTAAATTACACCTGCAGTCCCTTTTGCCGTATAAGTTAACATTCCCAGGTTCCTGGGATTAGGACTTGGGCATCTTTGGGGGTCCATTATTCAGCCTACCACAGAAGGAGATGGATTATCTCCAAGAACTCTTTCTTCGTCAGCATCAAAGACTTCTGTCCTCACTCCACCTCTTCCCTACCTCAATGATTCTTTTTTTTTTCAGGAAAAAAAAAAAATCATGTCTATCAGGCCTCAGTGCTCTGAGTTTAGGAGCAGCTCTGTGATTCCTCATTTCCTCCAGTTTGAGTTTGTCTGAAGTAGGGTGGTGTATAAATGTCCGGAGCTTTCCTTGTATTGCCATTGAGTAACTAACTCAGTATCACGTGATAGCGATTAAGGGAGGGGGACATTTTTATGCCTGCTCATTCCTCTAGAGCCTCCCAACCAGGACAGAGATAACAGTAGATTGTAGTATTTTTGTTTGGTTTTGTTTTAGATTACTTGTCAACATGTTAAAATCAGGATATTTTACTGAAAAGTAATCCTGATTTCTGACTCTCAAAAAATCAGAAGAGCTGGGAACGCTGGGGTCCTGTGCCCACCAAGCGGAATTGCTCTGATGCTGAGATATGTTGCCCCCAGCGGGCTGTCTCCTTGCAACTAGGCAAGGGTATTTTATGTGATCAATGTCCAAAACTTGCCTGGTTCTTGTGGATTCTTGAGCTTAGAACCTTGGTTTACGGTCTGTGATGAGGGCTGTATGGAGAGTGGACTGGCTGGCTCATAGCCACAGAAACACCCTTTTGTCCAACATTTGTGCAGTCAACAACATCGACTACTGAGTACCAGGTACCAAATCTTCACCGTAGAACCAGTCCTGACTGTTACGGAACCATAAACTAACCAAAATATTCGCAACCTGATCTTTGTGCTTCTAGAGAGCACTAACTTTTCTTTATGGTATAATCGTTTGTTTGTTTTAACCACACATTTCCCTGTATACATGTATGCCTCTAGGTAGCTTCTAATTATTTCTGTATTTCTCTATCTGTATTTAAAAGTAGAGATACTACAGCCTTTTTTGTTTTAATTCTCGGGAGGACATCTGCAAATGAGCACCAAATCTGCTGTAAATTAAAGAAACTTTTGCTATCTCTACTAAAAAAAGTCTTACCATCAGTCTCTGATTTTTCTTAAGCTTTGTTCCCACCTGTGCATCTTCCGAGCAACCATAAAAGAAAATAAAACCTGCAGTACGCACAGGGTGAGTGAAAAGTCACTTTAAACTCGAAGAACAGTGTGTGGATCCGTGGTCAAGTGTAATTGCTTATTCTGTAATTTATATTAATCACAGTTCCGTTGCTTGCCTTGTGGTAGTTAAGCATGCAGCTCTCTGACGATTGTTTTAAAGCTTATCCTGTGTCTTTTGATGTTTATGCTTAAAAGTCTAAGCAGTTGTTAACTACTCAGTCTGTGCTAAAACTAGTGGTTGGTTTGAGTGGCGTGTTTACTCGTTTTGTTTTGTGGATGAATTGCTTTTCCAGGTCTGGCTGTCTCTCTCGCTTGCTTCTGTGCTCTGCCCAGTTTTGCCTTAGCTTTGGAGCCCCAGGCTCTCTGTTCCCCGAGTTGCTGATGGTATAGCTGAGCTCTGCTAATGCTGGTTATTAACCTGACAGTGTATACGAGTGAGGTTTTATAATTGCCGTAATTCTTCTTTACTCCATCTCCCAGCTCCTCGAATGGGAGAGGCAGCAGCGCACAGGATTTGAACATTAGGTAGAGAATTGTAGCTTAAACGTAGCATTTTACATTCTTTCAAGGCTGCAGAGAAAGTGGTCACATTTTTGGATAATACTTGAATCTATAAATTCCAAGCAAGCTTTTTTTTTTCTTATTACCTATTATGTAAAACTTAAAAGTTAGCTAAACTGGGGTGCCTGGGTGGCTCAGTCAGTAAAGCGTCTGCCTTCGGCTCAGGTCATTATCCTGGGGTCCTGGGATCGAGCCCCGTGTTGGGCTCCCTGCTTAGCAGGGAGCCTGCTTCTCCCTTGGTGCTCCCTCTCTCTCTCTCTCTGACAAACAAAATAAATAAAATCTTTAAAAAAAAGTTAGCTAAACTTCAGAATTTTTAAATTTTAGGGTAGCACACTCAGTCTTTAAGGAGTGACTTTGAGGTTGTGTGTTTTAGTTATTTTAAAGCTGGTCTTGTTTGGGATGAAGAATTTAATAATGTTTAATGTTCAAAGGATACTTTCTGGAAACTCTTAAGTATCATGTGTTCTGTTTAAACTGTTCATAGAGAAGCACCTGAACATGAAATAATTTCAAACTCACCCCTCAAGAACAAATTTGATGGCTTTAAATGAATGTAAGGATCGAAGTGCTGAAGCTTCCAGAGCCCATGTCATAGGAGGCTAACCTAGAGATGCTACCTTGCACAGCAGCGGATGCACTTCAAGGCTCAGCTGAGCTGGAAAGGGAGCAAAACATTACAGACTTGTCACACTTAGAAATAAGGGGTTCCAAGTTGATAGTCAATAAAATACTTCCTTCTCCTTAACAGATTTTGTGGATCTTATACAGGTATTAGGGAGCCATCTGTGTTTTCTTAAACCTTCCTTGACCGTTTCCTTTAAGAATGGCTTTGTGTTTTATGGCTCTGTGTGTGTGTGTGTGTGTGTGTGTGTGCGTGGCACGCTTGTTGGGGAGAATTAAGTCTTGCGATGAGAAAACAGCAAATGTTATTAATGTTGACTTTACTATTTGCTTAAATACTACTATTGGATCTCGGAGTCTGTATGCTGGCAGGATGGCTTTGTTGAAAGCCTGTGGTAGACCAGCTCTCTGCTATTATCAGTAGCATTTCTGGATGGCTATCAGCAGTCTTTCTTGAGAGACCTAACCATATTTTTAGTACTGGGCATCGCAGCAAGTACCAGTATGGTAGTTACAAGGACTGTTTCCTGTGCAGGCGGGGCCTGTAATGCCTGCTGAATGTGACGTGCTCGCTAAGTCTTTTGGAGACGTTAAACACCTCTTTCCTGAGTTTCTTTAAGCTCTTTTTCATTGCTTCTGTTATTCAAAGCACATCTCTGGCTCATCTCTTCATTCTCTGTTTAGTTTCACATTTTACTTTAATCTTTCTGTACATCAGTATCTGTCATTATGGCATTTAAGGTCTTGGAAGAATTTGGCAGTTGCCAACTTTTTGAGAAAATAAAGCACTCCACCATTACAATGTTCTGCTTATGCTGAGTTAAAAATTCACATTATTTGGCTGAGGTTGTGATGATTTAGGTGCTGTTTGTAATTAATACAAGGGAGATTTTCCTTGCTGTTAAGAGTATAACTTCGGTTTTAGAAGGCTTGATCGTGGTTTTTTTTTTTTTTTTTCCCCATGGTAGACGTGAAAAGAACCAGGAGAGTCTGAGGATATTTATAATATTGTCATGCAGTGATCCCACTGTGAAGACTTATGCAAGAGAGAAAATCCAGATTCTGGTGACCTACAGTGCTGATGGCAGAGGGCAGAAGTGAGGCACTGATAGGAAAGGTGTTGTCCGCACACTAAAAAATCCAAATGCTGTAACAGAGCAGACCCTGCAGTGTAGACAAACCTGGCTTCCACTGTACCCTGGCCTTGCCAAGAAGTAGAGGGTGCAGACTGTACCCTTCGCCTTCCCTTCCTGGAGTGGAAGGAGTCACCCATGTGCAACCGCTCAGGAATAGTTCTTTACCTAGCAGAGTGTGAACAAGTACAGGACAGCGTTCGAAGTGGGCAACATGACTTTTAATGTTTGGTTTGGAGCATGAAGCTAGCTAGGTCCACCGGGTGGTGGTTGACCAGATAAAGGGGAAGATTTCTTTCTGAGAAGGGGAGGCTTTAACTTCCTTCAGAAAGAACATCTGAAGTAGCTTTTGAGCTTCTTGTAGAAGCTTAACAGAGAGACATGCAGTAGGGAGAATTTGGATATTTCATCTGTGCTGTCACTCAAGTTTTATTATCCCATTCAAGGAAACGTGGTTAATTGTGTTCAGATATTAGAAGCCAGCTCTGTTGAGTTCTGTTCATCTGATCACAGGGGATTCTTCCATTCTGTAAACTGAGATTTCTTGCTTCCAGCAGTGATATTAGTCTGAATCAGGCTTTCTCTTCTTGCTGCTAAATGTTTCAATTATCAATAAGGTAAAAGAATAATTAAACC